GCAGATCAGGGACTTCAGTCAAGCAACCATTCTTAATAACTTAAAAACAAAGAAAGGGAAACTACAAAAAGAAACACCTAACAAAACACTGAGCCAAACAACAAACCCACGTATAGATAAAATAACCATCAGATATAACACTTTCACCAATCCCCAAACAAAAGGAATGGAAGGCTGTTTACAAAATTATTTCGCAAAGGCTGTTTTGTCAAAAAGTTGTACAGACATTTGAAACAAAAGACCCAAAGCTGCACCATGCTCTAAAATAAACTCTCAGAGGATGGAGGAGAAAGACGAAAGACTCATAGAAGAGCAACACACACACAAAAAACAAAATGGAATATTTATAAGTACCCTGGGAGATGGTATCGCTCCCCGCATTAAAGCGGAGAGGAAATGAAAACTCAAAGACTGACGGCTTGAGATTCATACAAATTTAAAGTCTCATTCCAGTGGAAGAAAGAGAATCACAGAATTAAAATGAGGGGAGGAAGAGCATTTGGGGATCCATTTGCCTGAAGATGACAAGCTAACAGCTGATCTCTCTGCTACCTTGCACTCCATTCATATTTATAAGGAAAATAATTTTGTCAAGAGTAATATAGCAATGAAACCCTAAGAATTAAAGCAATTCTACCATCGACAACAACAAAAAACAGAAAAAAATCTACAAAACCAGGAAATAGTAAAATAACCGTCATCATTGAGACAAACAGGATTGATTTACATTGTGGTCAAACTGGATTAGGCCTCCCAGCCCCGCTGGCAGTGGTCAGCCTGGAGCATTCCTTTATGGTATCTCTGAATCGGCCTTCAGTGCTTTCCTGTTGGAAGCCCGGTGGCCTACATCTGACTATGTCCTTGTTATTTTGTTTCACTGGCGTGTGTGCTCAGCTTTCTGCACAGGAGGCAGAGTTGTTGGAACACTGCCCATCCACAGGGCACCAACTGTGCACTCACTCCTGGCCCTGGGTGTTCCAGGTCTCCTGGCCATTTGGAAGTCTGAGTGGAAAAATCACGTCCTTCTCTCAGGGTTCTTTAGGCACTGCTCCGCTGTCTCCTGGTTGTGGGTGCTGCAACTTGGCAGCATGGTCACCAAGGCCTGCTCTGGGTGCTGCAACTTGGCAGCGCGGTCACCAAGGCCTGCTCTTCCCTTTCTTACTCAAAGCTTCCAGGACGGTCTCTTCAAGCCGGGTAGAAATTCAACATGGTGGCATCAATGTGGGCTTCACTTCTTTCTGAACATTAGTCATGTCATCTCCAGGTGTGACTCTCTGATCTGGACTTCTCATCCCGTCTCTCAGATGATTTTACTCTGTTCTCTCCAACTTCCAACGAGTGCATATTCAACCTCTGTTGGACTGATGGGAATCCTGTTTTGATCTGTCCCCTCCTTTTCTCATCCCTTTTTTGTTTTCCTCTAGGTTTTCTGGGCATTTCCTTGATGTTATCTTCCAAGCCTGTGTAGAATGATTTATTACTAGCAGATTTTTTTTCCTTTAATTTTATTTTCTTGTAAAGATGCCATACAGAGGGACTACAGTTATACTACCAGATCTTTTAACTTCGAACTCTATTGCCATAACATCGCTATTAGATCTTGTTTCATCAACAAAACAAGGCACTCCATGAGTCTGCTGAGCCCATGGAGTTTAGAATCTACACTCTGTTCCTCCCCGTGGCCGTCTGGCTGCTGTGTCCATGTTAAGGCCTTTGGTGATGGAGACGTGCTGGGGTATCCAGGTCCCAACAGCTCCCCGACCAGACCCACTGCCTTCTCCTTGAGCTGGTCTCCTCCACGTATGCGTAGCCTCCTTGTCCTCCATCCTGGCTTCTTCCAAATCCTGCCAAGCAGGGTGGAGCTCTGTCTGGCTATCACAAAGTCCCAATATGGGTATAGGATACAGGGTACGGGGTACGGGAATAGACCCACGGTCCTGCCGCTGGGCTCAACCTCCCAGTGCAAGGCTCACTGGGCAGGCCCGCCGTGGGTCTCCGGGGCTGGACTGCAGCACTCCTCTGCTTCCCACCCCTGGGCTCTCATGGAGGAGGTCCAGCCCCCACTTTCCTGCTGTGTTCTAAGTTCCCATTTCTCCATGCTCCTTCCATCAGCAACCCTATGCACCCCATCCCCCATTCTCTCACCATCGGCTTCCAGGTACAAATGGGAAATTCCCTCCCTTCGCATACAGCAGGCTGAGCAGCCCACACCCATGCCCACCTACACCCCCCAGCACCCACAACCCCACACACCACACCCACACCCCAATACCCCTACCCACACCCCTGCACCTGCACCCATGCCTTGTGCCACACCAAGACACTCCTGTCCTCCTCCTTCTCCTGACCCATGTGTGTCCTTCAGCTCCAGCTCCAGCAAGAAGCTCTCACACCCTCCTTGCAAATCTTGCCTACTCCTCTGGCCTCGCCAGGCCACAGGGACCATGACCACACACTAAGCATGTGGATCTGTCTCCCTCCCTGGACAGGAAGTGGGGAGGTCAGGGCCTGGACGGGAAGTAGGGAGGTCAGGGCCTAGACAGGAAGTGGGGAGGTCAGGGCCTGGACAGGAAGAGGGGAGGTCAGGGCCTGGACAAGACATGGAGAGGTCAGGGCCTGGACAGGAAGTGAGGAGGTCAGGGCCTGGACAGGAAGTGGGGAGGTCAGGGCCTGGACAGGAAGTAGGGAGGTCAGGGCCTGGGTGGGAAGTAGGGAGATCAGGGCCTGGACAGGAAGTGGGGAGGCCAGGGCCTGGACAGGAAGTGGGGAGGTCAGGGCCTGGACAGGAAGCAAGGAGGTCAGGGCCTGGACAGGAAGTGGGGAGGTCAGGGCCTGGACAGGAAGTAGGGAGGTCAGGGCCTGGGTGGGAAGTAGGGAGGTCAGGGCCTGGACAGGAAGTGGGGAGGCCAGGGCCTGGACAGGAAGTGGGGAGGTCAGGGCCTGGACAGGAAGCAAGGAGGTCAGGGCCTGGACAGGAAGTGGGGAGGTCAGGGCCTGGACAGGAAGTAGGGAGGTCAGGGCCTGGGTGGGAAGTAGGGAGGTCAGGGCCTGGACAGGAAGTGGGGAGGCCAGGGCCTGGACAGGAAGTGGGGAGGTCAGGGCCTGGACAGGAAGCAAGGAGGTCAGGGCCTGGACAAGACATGGAGAGGTCAGGGCCTGGACAGGAAGTGGGACATGGGGAGGCCAGGGCCCAAACAGGAAGCAGGGAGGCCAGGGCCCGGACAGGAAGTGGGGAGGTCAGGGCCTGACAGGAAACAGGGAGGTCAGGGCCAGGTCTTGTCCTCAGCTCTCTATTCCATGAAGGGTGAGGCACCCAGCACAGCAGAAATGCTCAGTGCTGGCTTAGCCGTCCTATCTCCAGTGAGGCATCCGGAGACATGTTCCTTCTCCTGACAGTGAAAAGCAGGACCATGTTTATCTGCCAGCATCCAAATAAGAGCAGCTACAGAGATCACCAGGCAATGAAAGCAGCCAGATACTGGCACACAGGAACACAGCAGCCTGCCACAGGGAGGGAACACAGGTGGCCTGCCACGGAGGGGGCATGCGGGCAGCCTGCCACAGGTAGGCCTTCCCAGTGCTCCTAAGCAAGCGCTAACTCATAAGGAGAAAGAGAGGTTTCCCGGTGCCTTTAGAGCTTCAGTGGTTTCAAATCCACTTTAGATCATTTTATTCATCGTATATTTATTTTTCTCACTACCCAGAACACCAAGCTGATCTGCAGAAAACCCATTTGAAAAAAGCAATCACCTACTCCAAGCAAAGGCACTAAATGGAAAAGGAGAGACGGAAAACCCAGCAGATGGCAGGGTTCAGCGAGTGACCCCAGGCACACGCGTCCACACCAGGCCAGGTCTCCTTCCACAGCACCCAGATTCTGTTCATCCCTTTCCCTGTGTCATAAGCAGGAAAGAACACCTCCCTCTCGGAGCTCAGAAAAAAAGATTCGCATGATCCAGAGGAGATGCAACCAAATCTTTAAAATGGTAAAGGGTTTCTAATTAAAAAGGTATAGTTTGAGCTCTGCTGGGGGTGAGGGGACACACAGAGGCAAAAAGGAGGAGTCGGGTCCAGGTTCCTTGCCTGTGTGTGGGAACTAGAACGAAGGAGCCTGTGGTGGTGGAATGAAGGAAGAGAAGAGAGCGAGGGGGTCAGAGGTGCAGTATCTACAAGCACACACGTCATAAGGAAGCCGCCTCATATGACAGATGCGTTTGAAAAGCGTGGAAATAGCAACAATGCCTACCAACTTCCAACGGCATTCTTAAAATGTTGCCCTCCTACTGGGAGAGTTGAGGGAAATTGCGGTGGAAATGCTTTTTTCAGCAAAACAACACATCCAATATAGGTCGGGAACTTCTGAGAATATTTCTATAATTCTATATTCTGTATTTCTTAATAGGGAATTTACCTTTTACACATGTGGACTAAGAGAATATCAAATCAATACACACAAAGACGCGGCTGAGAAACATTCAGAACGTGACGTAGAAAAATAAAGAAAAAGAACATATCCTAAATTTCCAATGGGATTGACAATAACTGATCACCTTGGAACACACTTGTAATATAATGTCACGAAAAAAAGATACAAATAGCAAACCATCCTCTACACAAAATACAGGCTCAAGACAATATACTAGACTTGTTCTTCTTGCAGCAGCAGGAATTGAACTCATGGCCTCATGCTTGCTAGGCACACACTCTACCGTGTGAGCCAGCCCTCCCCCAGTCTTTCTGGATTGTTTTTGTTTATTTTGTAGATAAGAGTCTCACATCCTGGACGCCATCCTCATAAGTAGCTGGGATTATAGGCATGCTCTATCACACCCAACTCTTTAATGTTTTAGCTAAAATTTCATTGCAAGAAGAGTCCATAGTTGACTGAGTTATGAGGAAAGCTCCCTCGACTAGTCACAAATTACGTGGGGAATCTCATGGCCCGAGTCCGCCTCACCCAACCTGCCAAGCTGGCGCTGACAGAAGCATCCAGTACTCACTTGGTGGGCCGGTAATCCGGAATGGAGCGGTCCAGTGAGATCTTCTCACTGAGGAAGGAGTTGTAGCCATACTTCTCATGGGGTCCCTTAGCCTTCTCTTCTTCAGCCGGGGACAGGGTTGCGGGAAGACCGCCTTTGCCTCGGCCCCCATACCCTTCAATGAGGCCAAGGGATTTGGACAAGCCTAGAAAAGGAAGAGAGAGGTGGAATTACTGGACACTCACTACTGCATCTCATCTCAGACACAGCTCTGAACAACCACCACCGCACTCAGATACAGCCCTGGACAACCACCACCACACTCAGACACAGCCCTGGAAAACCACCACCACACTCAGATACAGCTCTGGACAACCACCACCTCACAAAGATACAGCTCTGGACAACCACCACCACACTCAGATACAGCCCTGGACAACCACCACCACACTCACATACAGCCATGGAAAACCACCACCTCACTCAGATACAGCCCTGGACAACCACCACCCCATTCAGATACAGCCCTGGAAAACTACCACCACACTCAGATACAGCTCTGGACAACCACCACCTCACTCAGATACAGCTCTAGACAACCACCACCACACTCAGACACAGCTCTGGACTACCACCACCATACTCAGACACAGCTCTGGACAACCACCACCTCACTCAGATACAGCCCTGGAAAACCACCACCGCACTCAGATACAGCTCTGAACAACCACCACCTCACTCAGATACAGCCCTGGAAAAACCACCACCACACTCAGATACAGTTCTGGACAACCACCACCACACTCAGATACAGCTCTGGACAACGACCACCGCACTCAGATACAGCTCTGGACAACCATCACCTCACTCACATACAGCCCTGGACAACCACCACCGCACTCAGATACAGCCCTGGACAACCACCACCGCACTCAGATACAGCCCTGGAAAAACCACCACCACACTCAGATACAGCCCTGGACAAACACCACCACACTCAGATACAGCCCTGGACAACCACCACCACACTCAGATACAGCCCTGGACAACCACCACCACACTCAGATACAGCCCTGGACAATCACCACCACACTCAGATACAGCCCTGGACAACCACCACCACACTCAGATACAGCTCTGGACAACCACCACCTCACTCAGATACAGCCCTGGAAAACCACCACCGCACTCAGATACAGCTCTGAACAACCACCACCTCACTCAGATACAGCCCTGGAAAAACCACCACCACACTCAGATACAGCTCTGGACAACCACCACCACACTCAGATACAGCTCTGGACAACGACCACCGCACTCAGATACAGCTCTGGACAACCATCACCTCACTCACATACAGCCCTGGACAACCACCACCGCACTCAGATACAGCCCTGGACAACCACCACCGCACTCAGATACAGCCCTGGAAAAACCACCACCACACTCAGATACAGCCCTGGACAAACACCACCACACTCAGATACAGCCCTGGACAACCACCACCACACTCAGATACAGCCCTGGACAACCACCACCACACTCACATACAGCCCTGGACAATCACCACCACACTCAGATACAGCCCTGGACAACCACCACCACACTCAGATACAGCTCTGGACAACCACCATTGCATCTCAGATACAGCTCTGGACAACCACCACCACACTCAGATACAGCTCTGGACAACCACCACCACACTCAAATACAGCTCTGGACAACCACCACCGCACTCAGATACAGCCCTGGACAACCACCACCACACTCAGATACAGCTCTGGAAAAACCACCACCACACTCAGATACAGCTCTGGACAACCACCACCACACTCAGACACAGCCCTGGACAACCACCACTGCACTCAGATACAGCCCTGGAAAAACCACCACCACACTCAGATACAGCCCTGGAAAAACCACCACCACACTCAGATACAGCTCTGGACAACCACCACCACACTCAGACACAGCTCTGGAAAAACCACCACCGCACTCAGATACAGCTCTGGACAACCACCACCGCACTCAGACACAGCTCTGGACAACCACCACCACACTCAGACACAGCCCTGGACAACCACCACCACACTCAGATACAGCCCTGGAAAAACCACCACCTCACTCAGATACAGCCCTGGACAACCACCATTTCACTCAGATACAGCCCTCAACAACCACCACCCACCACCCACTGCCCCATCTTATATGCACCCCTGAACAACCACCACTGCATCTCAGATACAGCCCTGAACAACTACTACTGCACTTAGATACAGCTCTGGACAACCACCAACCACCACTGTATCTTAGATACAGTCCTGGACAACCACTACCACATCCCAGATACAGCTCTAGACAACCACCACCCACCACCACATTTCACATACGGCCCTGGCAATCATCACCCATCCCATCAGATACAGCCCTGGACAACCACACTGTATCTTAGATACAGCCCTAAACAACCACCAATGCATCTCACAGACGGTCCTGGACAACCACCACTGCATCTCACATACAGCCCCAGACATCCACCACCCACCACCAGCACCCATTACCACATATCAGATATAGCCATTGAACCCAGGGCCTCATGCATGCAAGGCAAGCACTCTACCACTGAGCCACCTTCCCAGCCCTTCAGATACAGCCCTTGAAAACCACCACTCAGACACAGCTCTGAACAACCACCACCGCACTCAGATACAGCCCTGGACAACCACCACCCACCACCGCATCTCAGATACAGCCCCAGACAACCACACTGCATCTCAGATAACAGCTTCCAATTTGAAAGATGCCATCATCTGCCACAGAAAACACAATATGACCTCAACATGAACTCTGCATAAGTTCAGGATTCACGTCCACTGTGCAGTCCAGATCCTCTCCTTCCTTTTGGGAATGGAAGAGGAGGTGGCACAGAGTCCATAAACAGAAGAGGGCAGAGGGGGTAGGATGGAGCTAGGCTGCTCCTGCCTGACTTGCTCTCTCCCTGGACAACCACATGAAGGGGGGCGGATACCCGCACGCCACAGAATCAGAAGGGGGGCAGGCACCCACACACCACAGAATCAGAAGAGCAAGGCCCAGGGAACAACTTGCAGAATGATTTTATCATGAGCTTAAGGCTTGAAACTGCTTGACACAGCTCTGTGCCTAACAGTTTTATTTAAATTTCATCTAAATGGCAAAAGGAAGTGCAGAATGTTTGAGAACAAATCACAGTGGGAAATAAGCCCATCAGGGCAATACCTGCTCAGGAGAGGGCGGGAGCCTGTGGGACAGGGACCCGGACAGGGATGGCTTATAGGCTGGTCACTGCAGCGGATGATCAACCGCTTGGACTTTTCAGGATTTTGACTACTTGATGAGAACACTTTTGTTGTGGTGGCTTCTATTCTTTTTTTTTCTATTCACTGTCATAGCTCAGCTGAATGCAGACTAAGAGGCAAAGGGCTCTGCAGATCTCCCGTGGATGGAGCTCAGGGAGCCGGGCCCTGTCCGGGCAGGCAGCGCCCCTGAGGTGGGTCAAAGGCCCACAAACGTGCTCCACACCCCACCACCACAAGGCCTTGGCCCTCTTTCCTGAGTTTGTGCAGAGGAAATATGCTCTCTGCCAGGTCAAGGGCAGGGGGAAGCTCAGTGAGCCACATTCACAGCTCAGTGTTGAGGTGGCCTCGTCCTGCACCTGCCCAGTGCATGATTACCAGGGCCTGCTGGCTGGGAGGGGGGCCCTTCCTCCCTCCATCTGTCCATCCTGAAGCTGCGTACTCAATCCAAGAGAATAACCACCCAACCAAGGAGGCACACACTTCCATCTGAGGTACACGAGGATGTGGGCTCCCATCAGCAGACAGCCGTCTTCGCACAAGGGATCATGAGGCTCTGCGCTCCCCGGGCTGGACCCCACAGACACTCTCCACTGGACAAGTCCACATAGTGGGGAAGTGGATCCATGCTGCAGAGGGTGGGAGAAGCTGCAGAGTGACCTGAGGGCCATTGTTGGGGAGGACACCATTAAGGCTGCAGTTAAACTAAAGCCAGGCATCTCTATGCTATTGGCATTTTTTGGACTGGGAGCCTTGTACTTACCAATCAGGTGTTGTACTACTGAGCCATGTCTCCAGCCCTGCTTTTCACCAATTTTTTTTTTGGGGGGGGTGTTTCCGGTTGTGGGCCTGAACTCTGGGCCTGGGCGCTGTCCCTCAGTCCTTCAGCTCAAGGATAGCGCTCTACCACTTGAGCCACAGCGCCACTTCTGGCTTTTTTTTCCTACTTATATGGTACTGAGGAATCGAACCCAGGGCCTTATGCATACAAGGCAAGCGCTCTACCACTGAGCCACCTTCCCATCCCTCACCAATTATTTTTAAGACAGGTTTTCCTTTCCTGCCAGTATGATGATGCCTGGACCACAGTGGCTGAGATGATAGGCGGGTGTCCCTGCATCCAGCCATGTGCTGAGAAGGTCTCATCAATGCTTTTGCCCAGGCTGGCCTCAAATCACAATCCTCCCATTTTCAACCTCCTAAGTCGTTAGAACTACAGGCATGAGCTACAGACACCATTCCCCCTTTTTTAAGGCAGGGTCTCATCTTGTTCATCTCTGCTGCCTCTCTGATTCAGTGGGCCCAGGGTACTCTGAGGGTGGCCTTCCTAATGCAGGAATGAGGGCCAGAAACAGAAATGTTTGTCAGATCGTCCAGAAGTTACAACTACGATGCCTGCTAACCTTAGCTGTGATAGGACGCATGAGCAAGGGGTGCTAATGAGGCATTTGTCTCTCTCGGTGGCATCATTTCCTCCTTAGTGGAAGTCCCCTACTTAGCAACACGATGTAGCACTGTGCACAGTGCAATGTGACAACTACGAATTATCTATTTCATGCTCCACAGCTCTCATTCCACAACCCCCCCCCCCCCCCCCGCCAATTTCATCTGCAAGAAAGGTGCTGCAGACCAGCAGAAACTTCCACTGTACGTAAGTGTGGTGACTTAGATGGCCTCAGGAACTGCTGGAAAGGACAAAGCCAGCCCATGGACACTGAGCCTGGCCAGCCTGAGCTGTCCCCAGAGTGTATCATCTGGTTCATACACACAGACAGGGCTCAAACCTGAAAGGGCACACACTACACTCTTCACACAAAATGCAGGGACTCAGAGATGGGAAACACAGAGATGAGGGGAGGATCAGGATGAA